GGTGAAACCTCGTCTCTACTAAAAATACAAAAATTAGCTGGGCATGGTGGCGGGCACCTGTAATCCCAGCCACTCGGGAGGCTGAGGCAGGAGAACTGCTTGAACCCAGGAGGCAGAGGTTGCAGTGAGCTGAGATTGTGCCACCGCACTCCAGCCTGAGTGACAGAACAAGACTCCGTCTTGAGAAAAAAAAAAAAGACAGTAGGACTAGCTATACTAGTGTCAGATTTGGTATACTTCAAGACAGACTGCCTTGAGAGTTTTCAGACCACAGTGCAGGAAGAAGGTAACAGAATCAGCAGTCTCCCTATGCTGAGGAGACAGTCCATCGTTTGGGGAGGTCCAGGTGGCTAGAACTCATGGAACAGAGTACTAGACAGGAGAGAACAGAGAAAAAGCACTTCGGAGTCTTGCAGAGGGTTCTATCTGAGTCTTCCTCTGAGTACTCAATAGTGTATGTATGTGATGAAGGTAACCGAGGCCAGGGAAAGACCACAGGAAATCATCAGGTGGAATAATCCCCAGAGAGTGATCACACATGGCCAGGAACTGTTGGTGCTCCCACCAGCCAGAGTGGAAAGACCTCCCAATACAGGAGTCGGTGAGAAGAGCAGAGCCCTCACAAGGGTATCAGCTTCGTAGTAGGACAAAATTAGCACTAGACTCATGGCTGTTCTACACCCAGCTATCAAAACTAAATAGCAAGCTGCAAAATGATCACATTATTCCCAAGTAACTTAACCTTGTCCCAGAACAAAGCTCAAAAATATTTAAAAGAACACACACACACTGAGAGAGAGATTGAGAGAGAAAGAGATATTCCATCATCCAGCAACCTAAAACACTCACAATGTCTGGACTCCAATAATAAATTACCAAGCATGCAAAGAAGCAGAAAATGTGAACCATAATAATAAGAATCAACAGACACAGATCCAGAATGGACACAGAGTTAGGAGAGAAGGGCATTAGATACTACAAATACGCTTCATATGCTCACGAAGGTAGAGCTACGCGTAAGCATCAGAGAGACATGAAAGATACAAGGAAGAAAGTGAAATCAGACTACCTAACATAAGAAAGATGAATGGGCTTAACGTAAGAGTGAGAGACTGCAGAAGGAAAGTGGGGAAACTTGAGGCGATAGGAATGGCAAATCCCTAAAAAAATGAAAAGCAGAAGATACCCTGGAGGAGAGAAGAGCATTAGTTGAGTGAGGGACGGTACTGTATACACAAGTCACTGGAATTCCAGCAGCAGAGGAAAAAGACAAGGATAGAAGGGAACTTCTGCTGAGTGCGGTGGCTCACGCCTGTAATCCCAGCACTGTGGGAGGCCGAGACGGGTGGATCACTTGAGGTTGGGAGTTCAAAACCAGCCTGGCCAACACGGTGAAACCCTGTATCCACTAAAAACACAAAACTTAGCCAGGCACAGTGGCACGTGCATGTAATACCAGCTATTTGGGAAGCTGAGGCAGGAGAATCACTTGAACCTGGGAGGTGGAGGTTGCAGTGAGCTGAGATGTCGCCACTGCACTCCAGCCTGGGCAACAGAGCAAGACTCTGAGTCAAAAAAAAAAAAAGGGCACTTATTCATGAACTGGGAGATTATATTTGTAAATCATACCTGATCAAAAAAATGTATCTAGAACATATAAAGAAAACAATATAAGAAAACCCAATAAAATGATGAGAAAAGATTTGAACCCGTCACAGAAGATGTGTAAATGCATAATCAGCACATGAGAAGGTGAGGTGCGCCTCACCACTAGTCATCAAGAAAATGTAAAGCACAGCGAGAGACTACCACTCACCCTCTAGGACGGCTAAAATCAAAAAGATAAAATGTTGGTGAAGATGTGGAAAAATGCTAAAACACTGTAGCTAAATGTGTTATTAGCTAGTCGCTTTAAAGTATATGCTGTCTCTAAAATTAAAAAAATAATAAGCCACTAACAAATGGAACACTATTTTCTGTTTTGTAAAAATGCCTGAAAAAGAAACAGTGGTTATTCAGACCTGGGGACATGGCAGAGATTTCCTCAGAGCCAGTCTGTCACTTCCACGTGACACTGTTAGTAAGAGCCAGTAACACCATGAGACTTAATTTTTGCTACTGACAAAATTGTTTTCTTTTTTTTTGAGACAGGGTCTCACTCTGTCACCCAGGCTGGAGTACAGTGGTGCTATAACATCTCACTGCAGCCTCAATCCCTCAGGCTCGAGTGATCCTCCCACCTCAGCCTCCCGAGCAGCTGGGACCCCAGGTGTGTGCCACCATTCCTGGCTAATGTTTTAATTTTTTGTAGAGACGGGGTTTCACCATGTTGCCCAGGCTGGTCTTGAACTCCTGGGCTCAAGTCATTCTCCTGCCTCAGCCTCCCAAAGTGCTGGGATGATAGGAGTGGGCCACCCCGCACAGCCCCCATTTGACCTGGTCAACATTCACTTCAGAAGCCTCGCGTAGCGGGGTGCCGCCGGTGAGCAGCGCCCGGGCCTCACCGTCTGGTACTCCTCCGTCCGCACATGGTGCTCCACCAGGAAGCCGTAGACGTCCCCAGTGCGAACGGTGCTGTCCAGGTCTGGCTCCTCTAGGAGCAGCTCGCACTGCTTGACGGACTCCTTGGGGTCCTCCGTGTATGTCCTGCCAAGAGCAGAGATGAGGCCTGAGCCCTGAAGCCCTCAACACCTACTGCTCTTAGAGGTCGGAGGAGCTCTCTGGAATGGCAGGAGGAAACTTTCTACGAAGTTAATTAATTCATTAATTCTTTAATTTGTTCATTCATAAATTAACTCATCCATTTAACAGACTCTTACTGATCACTTTTATGCTGGGTCCTATGCTTGGACATGAAGACCAAAGACTTGTAGTTCCTGCTCCACAGAACAGTCTGGAGGGGGCTAGAAACATCTGGGCTAAGTGTGACCCAGTGGGGACGTGGGGCATGTGGACAGGGTGTGTGGAGAAGCACATAGCACCCCTTGCCCGAGGCCGCTGGGAAGAACCTTCTAAGCAGAGAGGCTGGCCCTTGCACAGGCCACGTGTGTGACTTGGAGTGAGGGTCTGTGGCAGAGCAGGGTGTGGCCTGTGAGCTAGGGCAGCCCCAGCAGGGTGAGCTGTTAGAACGCAGCGAGGTCCAGGACAGGCGACTGGAGCCGTGTGGAGCTCGGGCTCCCAGGTCTGGAGGGTCCAGGGCCCATCCTGCCACCCCTGACTCAGCTGTTCCAGACATGTGCCTGGCCTGCCCTCTCACCCCTGGCCCTCACACGTCCTCTCCCCTCCATCCATATCCTGTGCTATCCCTGACGACCAGCCGCTGCCCATTCTTCCCTGCTCCTGCCTCCTGGGGCCCAAGCTCAGCACGTGCTGATACCCCAGAATTGCCACGTGCAAGTGGACTGTGCCCTTCCAAGGGGCGCTGCTTTGGACATCGTTCAAAGTACTTCTGGAACTCTTCTTTTGGAAAAGGTTCTCGGATAAGAGAAACACCCTTGTTGGCTGAGACAGAAGCTGGGCCCTGAAGCCCACAGGTGAATGCTCACCATGTTGCCCACACAGCAGCTCTTTGAAAAGCTCAATTATCTGCCAATACATAAAGACTGGGAGGTACTCAAACGTAGAATCTTGGCCTCTCCTAAAAACTGAGACAATGGCTGCCCGGGTCTCCTTTCCGCCAGCTTGGAGCTGGTGGCAGCTGTCCTACGGAGAGGTACGAGCCCACTGCTCACCATGGTCCCCACCACCCCAGGTCACAGCGCGGCCCACAGGACTCCCCTGCCAAGCCCCTGCACACCCCGAATGGGTCCACAGCTCCCGAGACAAACCCTCTCCTGCTGCAGATCTGCCTCCTCCTCCCACTCCCACCCCCACCAGGTTGCTCTCTCAGGGTCACAGCCTTCCCGAGGCTGTGCTGGGCTCTGAGGGCGCTCCGTGAGGAGCTTGCATGTGTGTTCAGCAGCAGCACTGTCCCGAGTGAGCTCCTGTCTGCCGTCCAGCCCCTTTGCTGGCTGCGGTTTCTCGTGCTCAGCCCTCACCCTCGCCCTGTTGTCACATCTGCCCCGGCCCGGCCCTGTTGGCCCTGAGGGCGCACCTGCGGGCCTGGATGAACCTCTTCACCAGTGCCATCCTGCTCTGCAGCTGCGCCAGCCTGGTCTCCTGGTCCAGGGGGCTCTTGGTCTTGGCCTTGGACAGGCACTTGTAAGCCTCGGTCAGAGCCCCATGGGCTTTCTCATAGTTCTGGTATTCATCAATCTCCACCTGTGCGGATGAGACCCGTCAAGACCCGCAGGGCTCCACCGCCCTCCTGGGGACCCCGCTGGAATCCCAGGGAGGGTGCACACCTGGGCACAAGCATCGTAAAAGCCGGCCAGGAGGTCCAGAGCCCGCCCCTTGGTGTAGAAGCTGATGATATTCTTCATGATCTCCGGCTCCTTGCGCCAGTCCAGGGACTGCAGGTAGTTGGCAGCCATGATGTAGATTTCCTTCTGCCTGGACACGCTCGCGAAGAACGTGATTTTCTCTGTGTCTCCAGACTTGAGCAGTGCTCTCATGGCCTAGGCAGAGGCAGGCGGGCTCAGGCAAGCAGGGGCTGGGCCAGGACAAGCACAGGGACCCAGAGTAGGAGCTCTCCCAGAAGAGTGGCTCAGGGCTTCCCGGAGAGAGAGATCTTCGTGGTCATGCTCCTCCTGGCCAGAAAGGCTCAGCCCTGGCTCAGGGTAATCGGGAAGGCAAATGGAGATGCGTGTAGGGGGCCTGCAGCCTAAATGCCTGCGAAGCAGCCACGGTGGGCTGGGGCCGGCGCTCACCTTCAGCTTGTTCCCAGCCTGCGTGTACTTCTTGGTGGCCAGGTGGTAGCTGCCCTGGCGCATGCAGCAGTTTGCTATCTGCTCCAGCAGCTCCCGCCGAGACTCCTCAGGCAGGTCCGTGGAGTCCTTAGACACTGTCATCTTCTCGGCCATCTCCTCGGTGATAGTCATGTTCTGCTCCAGGCACAGCTGCAGGGCTTTGTGATACTGTAAAGGTGCAGAGATGGGACAGGGCTGCCAAGGGGGCTGGGAACCAAAGCATGCCCCTCATCTGCCACCGCTCGAGAGGAAACCAGGCCCCTGGGGTGAGCAGTGGCCTCTGTTTGGCTGGGGTGGGTGTGCAGGGGACAAAGATGTCTCACCCCCACTGACCTACAGGCATTCACGTGACTTTTCTCACTCTGTCAACATTCCAGAATGGAAAGGCAGAAACAATAGTCACGAGTGATAATATGCTCAAAAGATTATTACATTTGGGAGAAAAGGAACTGATAATTTTCTTGTATAATTCTCAATTTTTTAAATTAAAGATTTTTTTTTTTTTTTGAGACAGGGTCTCTCTCTGTCACCCAGGTTGGAATGCAGTGGTACAATCATGGCTCACTGTAGCCTCCACCTTCCCAGGGTCAGGTGATCTTCCTGCCTCAGTTTTTGTATTTTCAGTAGAGACGGACAGGATTTTGCCATGTTGCCCAGGCTGGTCTTAAACTCCTGGGATTAAGCAATACACCTGTCTTGGGCTTCCAAAGTGCTGGGATCACAGGCATGAGCCACTGCGCCTGGCCTGATTTTCCTAACATTTTAAGAAAAATTTGATATTCTTCATTTGAGAATATGTTTTAGGCCAGGCACAGTGGCTCATGCCCGTAATCTCAGCACTTTGGGAAGCCAAAGCAAGAGGGTCACTTTGGCCCAGGAGTTTGAGACCAGCCTGGGCAAGATAGTGAGACCCTATCTCCACAACAAAAAAAAGTAATAGTTCACAAATATACATGAAGTAATAACACATTTATATTCAGAAAAAGAATATGGCCTGACACGGTGGCTCACACCTGTAATCCCAGCACTTTAGAAGGCTGAGGCAGGTGGATCACCTGAGGTAAGGAGTTCAAGACCAGCCTGACCAACATGGAGAAATCCCATCTCTACTAAAAATATAAAATTAACTGGACATGGTAGTGCGTGCCTGTAATCCCAGCTACTCAGGAGGCTGAGGCAGGAGCATCGCTTGAACCCGGGAGGTGGAGGTTACAGGGAGCCGAGATCGCACCATTATACTCCAGCCCGGGCAACAAGAGTGAAACTCCATCCCCTCCTCCTCCCCCTAAAAAAAGAAGCAAAAAGAGTGTATCTCAGGAGAAAAAGAATTCTGCCTTGGAGGTGTTTCCATTTCAGTACGCTGGGAGCTGCCAACAGGCTCTCTGCTATGCAGGTGTCCACGGTGCTGAGGAATCCCTGAGGATCAACCATCCTGGTGACAGACTGGTGTCCTTACTGCCGTAAACCCCGTGCGGAGCACACCCTGTGCACACGACACTAATGAGTGCGTGCACGTGTCTGTTAACTCTTAAGGGAAGGGGTAGCTGGGACAAGGGAGACATACCTTTGGCTGGGGATAGGTACTGCCTGCTGTGTTCCACAGTATCTGCTTCCCATGACCATCCAGTGGGTTTTCTCACCTTTTCACCCTGCTAGCCCAGTAAAATGGCATCTCCATGAATTGTGGTCTGTATTATTATTATTATTATTTCTTTAGTAGAGTCGAGGTTTCTCCATGTTGGTCAGGCTGGTCTCAAACTCCTGACCTCAGGTGATCCACCTGCCTTAGGCTCCAAAAGTGCTGGGATTACAGGCGTGAGCCAACACGCCTGGCCCTAATTTCTGTATTTTTTAGTAGAGATGGGGTTTCACTATGTTGGCCAGGCTGGTCTTGAGTTTCTGACCTCAGGTGATCCACCTGCCTTGGCCTCCCACCCAGAGTGCTGGGATTACAGGTGTGAGCCACCGTGCCTGGCCTTGATCTGTATTTCTACCAACCATATTTCCTTTTGAGAGGAAACGGCTCACAGCCAACCACAGGGCTCACGTCCATAGTCTCAGTGCTTTGGGAGGCTGAGGCAGGAGGATTGCTTGAGCCCAGGAGTTCAAGACCAGCCTGGCCAACATAGTAAGACCCTGTCTCTACTAAAAAATGTTTTCTAATTAGCTGGGGATGGTGGCACATGCCTGTATTCCCAGCTACTCAGGAGGCAAGAGAGTCATGAGGCCGGGGCAGCAGTAAGTCAAGACAGCACCACCACACTCCAGCCTGCGCAACAGTGAGACCCTGTCTCAACAATAACAACAAAAAGCTAAAATGGTAAATTTCGTGTTGTGTACTTTTGCTCCCCCACATAGGTGAGTGCAACTCCCTGTGTGTGATCTGAGGCTGGCCTGAAGGATGGCGAGTCTACACTCACGGAAGTCCTAGGTGTGCCGTACGTGAACTCCAGGGCAGGGGGCACCCACCACAGCCTTCCTGGAGAATGCATAACCAGGTGAGCAGCCATTCTCACGGCCTCTGGCGACAGGGGCCCCTGAGCTATGGTGCCTGCATGGAGCCGAGCCCAGGCCCCACCAGCCCTGTACCTTCCTGGCAGCCAGCAGTAGCTCCACCGCCCTCTCGTACTGACTGTGCTCAATGAAGAAGTCAGAGCAGCGGGCCAGGAGTGCAGGGTCTGACGTCTCATCCAGGTCCTCTGCTATGAGCTGCAGGGCCACAAACTGCTGAGTGGCAAAGGCCAGCTCCAAGGCCTTGGAGAAGTGGCCAGCCTGAGGATGGATGTGATGGGCTCTGAGCAGCTGCTCAAGCCCTGGGGGCCCAAGGGCAAGGGTGCCCTGGCCTGCTGCCCTCCCTGAGGTCCCCACTGGTGGCAGGCCCTCACCTTGTGGTACAGCATGACCGCCCTGTCCATCTGCGCGGCCTTCTCATAGTATCGAGCCACCTCGATCATGTCCTCCGGGGAGCTGAGCAGGGCCAAGTTCATGAGCTGGTCGTCCAGGCCGTTCTCCTACAGGAGGGAGGCAGGGCCTGGAAGCAGCTCCCACCAGCTTCCCCAGGCCCGCTGAGACTCCGGAACGTGGCCGGGTATGAACCAACCCTTCACTTGGGTATGCTGCTCAGCAATCTCTGCGGTCATGGGTTTAAGGAGCTGATGACTTACTGGGTCTGTCTACAAGGATTTTCCGATGCTTTGTGTTCTATTTTACAGAGCACTGCAAGAAACACCTGACACAGATGTTTCTGGGAGTGAGAGCCTGGGCTGGGACACATGTATGGGTGCAGAATGCCCAGCAGCTTTCTAGGAGGGCCCGTGGCGCTTGACTACCTTGAGAGTCTGCTGTTTGCAAGGCCATAGGCGGTAAAGCAGCCTCACCCGCTGCTCAGGAGCCCTGGAGCCCGGGAAACATCTGGGGATAATGCAGCGCTTTGCAAACAGTGTGAGATGGAGGTGGGCAGCGGGATGGATGAGTGAGGCCGGCAGGGTGAGGAGCGAGGACAGACAGCATGTTCCTGACACGATCCTCTCTCCCCACTTTTCCACCTGAACCTCGGGACGCGCCGGCTCCCCACCCTTGCCCGGTGGTACCTTGCACAGGCGAATGGCGTTCTTGAAGGCCTGCGCCTGGGTGTAGAAGTGTACCGCCTGCCCCACCTCCTCCTGGCTCTCGTACTGGCGGGCGAGGTGGTAGGAGGCCGCCAGGTTTCCCGTCTCGTTGGCTATCTGCGCAGCCTAGAAAGACAAAGAAACCAAAGACAAGACACGGTGGCCATATGTCTACTTCCTGTCCGCCTCATGAGTGTCTGGCCGGCCGGCTCCCTGCAGGCCCTCACCTTCTGGACGCTGCCCTGGAAGCAGTGGATGCGGACCAGGGAGAAGTGGTCCTGGGCCAGCTGGTAGTAGTGCAGCGCAGTGTCCATCTCGCCCTGGCTCTCCAGGTACTGTGCCCACCACCGCCACAGGGTCCTGCGGGCAGCCCCAAAGCCGTGGGTTCTCCATCTGAGCCCTGCCCCAACCTGGAACGGCCCCCACTCCCACCCTGAGACACCCTCAGAGTGCATGTCAGCTGACCTGCAAACAGGCTGGGCCAAGGGTGAAACCCCTGGGCTCTGTCCAAACGGAGGGTCTGGCTCAGGGCCTGTCATAGCTCTGAGGGGCCGGGGGATGCTGCCCCCTCATGCAGGAAGCCTGGGGAGGGGGCACTTGAGCAAGCTGTGGCCACCCCCCAACAAACCTCCAAGATAGAGTGCAGTCCCGCCAGCCTGGGCAGGGACACTCACTTATCCTTCATCTTATTCACGTAGAGCTCCAGGGACGGCAGGTCCTCCGATAGCATCCTGGGCACCTCGAAGCGGTGCGTGTCCGACTTCTCGTAGCTGTGAGAGGAGACAGGAGGTCCTCATTCCCTCCCGTCTCAGCCCCATGGGAAGCAGATGGGCTGAGAGGCAGCGTCGGCGAAACGCATCAGAGCGGTGGCCCTCGGGGTGTGGGATCTGAGCTCTGCAGGGACTGAGCATGCGTGGCCGGGAGGCAGTGGGGGCTCCCTGCACTGTGGGGGCTGGGAGGTGGGTTACCCATCCAAACCCCGGGAACAGGTCTACGAGCAGCTCCTCCTCTGGAGAGGGGGACATGGTGTTTGTCTGTCCTCAGGAGACACCAAGCCCATCTGTGCTCAGCAACCAACACCAGCAACGGGACAGATGTTTTTCTCTCTGCCTCAAAACCCGGGTGGCCCAGGATGGATGGGGCAACTCCACATCTCCGAAGCCCCAGCAGCTTCCTGCTGAGAAGGCTGCCAACACCCTGAGACACACCCCTCCTCAGAGAACCTCCCTGGCCACCTCACGACGGCACAGAGAGGCCTCAGGAGTCAGAGCTGTCCAGTGAGGGTGGAGGGGCCAAGGGCTGCACTTACTAGCTGAGGGCCTGGCTGCAGTTGGCGCTGGCCTCCAGGTGCCTGGCGTAGCGGTGGCAGGTTTGGCGCAGGTGCACGCGGTCGTGGCGCTCGGCTACCTCGAGGGCTTTCTGCCACTGGCCCGAGGCCTGGTAGAACTTGTTCAGGAGGTCATAGCGCTGGCACTTCCTATACAGCTGCTCAGCATCCTCCTGGGAATGAGGATGGGTGGGAGTCGTGCAGCCTCTGCACACCCACCCTTCAGAAACACGGTTCCACGCCAGGCCACCAGTCACTGCGCCCTCCCACGCTGCCAAGCACATTGACGCATGGGGCTGCTTCGGGCACAGTGAACACCACACTCACAGCTGCAGTGTGAGATGCACCACCCACCTCCCACAGCCACCCTGAGAAGTACCTCTTGATCCGGGGGCCTCTTGGGTGTTCTGCTCCAGGCCTGCACGCCTGCCTGGCACACACCCTGGAGAGCCAGCAGCCACCTTGCCTCTACTGCTGCAGTCTGCCCAGCTCTCCTGGGCCATGCCTCTCGGCTCTGCCCTCGTCACTGCAGGCTCATGCCAGTGGATGTGCCCCCTCCTTCCCTGAGGGACTATGGCTGTGGCAGGTGTGGTGCCTTCCCCCCCACCCCATGGCGGGTGCTCTCTTACCAGCATGCCTAGCTGTGTGGCCAGCATGGCCACGCGGGCCTCCAGCTCCGGCTCCTGCTCCGCCTCGCGCAGTGCTCTGGCCCCACGGGCGTGGCCCATGTTCCCCAGGCACACCTTGGCCACGTCCAGCCGCTGAGTCTTCACGCACATGCGCGCCATGTTCTCCCAGACGGCCTCGCTGTAGGCAGACGGAGTATGTGAGGCTCCCACCCAACACATCAGGGCCCCCCTGGCCCTATGGCCCCTTCTCCTGAGGCAAGTGATCATCAGGCATGGTTGCCAAAGGGGCATGAGGAGGGGTCTTCACCCATCAGCTCTGTCCGTGGGCAAGACTACAGGCCATCCGGAGAGGTACCTGTCACAAGTCCCACGGCCTCCTCAAACCCAAGAGGCAGGGGCTGGGTCCCATTAAAAGACAGAAAGGGCCGGGTGCAGTGGCTTACGCCTGTAATCTCAGCACTTTGGGAGGTTGAGGCAGGTGGATCACGAGGTCAAGAGATTGACACCAGCCTGGCCAACATGGTGAAACCCTGTCTCTATTAAAAATACAAAAATTGGCCAGGTGTGGTGGCTCATGCCTATAATCCCAGCACTCTGGGAGGCCGAGGCGGGTGGATCACAAGGTCAAGAGATCGAGCCCATTGGTGAAACCCCGTCTCTACTAAAAAATACAAAAATTAGCTGGGCGTGGTGGTGCACGCCTGGAGTCCCAGCTACTTGGAAGGCTGAGGCAGGGGAATTGCTTGAACCTGGGAGGCAGAGGTTGCAGTGAGCCGATATTGCACCACTGCACTCCAGCCTGACACCTGGCGACACAGCAAGACTCTGTCTCAAAAAAAAAAAAAAAAAAACCCAAAAAAACCAAACCAAAAAAAAAAAAAAAAAAAAAAAAAAAAAAAAAACAAAAAAAAAAAAAAAAAAAAAAAAAAAAAAAAAAAAAAAAAAAAAAACCCAAAAAAACCAAACCAAAACAAAACAAAAATTAACCGGGCATGATGGTACATTCCTGTATCTCTACTCAGGAGGCTGAGGCAGGAGAATCGCTTGAACCCAGAAGGTGGAGGTTGCAGTAACCTGAGATTGCACTACTGCACTCTAGCCTGGAGACAGAGCGAAACTCCGTCTCAAAAAAAAAAGAGAGACAGAAGGATCTCTTATGCAGGTCACCAAGCTCCTCCTCCTTTTCCCCAGCTCTAAGCGGCTGTCTGCTCAGGAAATGCAGGCTTCCCGTATTGCTTGCACCCACAGGATCTGCTCTGAAACGGAGCCTCCTGCTCTCACCTGAGCCTGGGACTGCAGGGCCTCTGGTAAACCAGCCCCGCACAGCGGGGACCGTCACTCGACAGCCTGGCAGCCACCGGGGGAAACCTCGGGGGGTGGGGTACAGGGTCCAGACTCTGAGTCAGCCGAGGAACATGGAGCCAGGGCTATCTCCCCAGGAGAGCTTAACCCAGCCCATGCAGGGTTCTGCAGAGCACTGGAGGCCTGCCGAGCGGAGGGCCCCAGTGGGAGGCCTGCAAATGGGCTGACCAATGGGACATGGGGGCCAGCATCTTTTGCCCCAGTCCTGTGTCCCACTCTCAGGCGGTGAGTTTTGTGTGTGTGAAGGAACAGAGTGCTGAATGGGCAGCTGTGTCAGGGCACAGGTGCAGGGATGGTGGAAGTCACCCTGCCTCTTTGTTTTTTGTGTTAAGACAGGGTCTCCCTCTGTTGCCCAGGCTGGAGTACAGTGGCACAATCACAGCTCACTCCAGCCTCGACCTACTGGGCTCAAGCAATCCTCCCACCTCAGCCTCCTAGCTGGGACCCAGCCAGCTAGGACCACAGGTGTGCACTACCACCCCTGGCTGTTTTTTTGTAGAAATGGGGTTTTGCCATGTTGCCCAGGTTGGTCTTGAACTTCTAAGCTCAAGTGATCCCCCTGCCTTGGCTTCCCACCAGGCTAGGATGACAGGCGTGAGCCACCGCACCCCACCCCGCCTCTGTGTGGGGTTTCTTGCATTCCTCCCTCGCTGGTGCTGATCCACGCAGGCCGCTAGTCTCTGTGTGGACCAGAAATGACTGAGGCTTTGGTTTGTGTTGGCTCTGGGGGAGGCCGAGGCTGCTGACAGCCACCATGGGACATGGCGCTGCATGAGAACCATGTGTCCGAGTGTGGGGGTGGCACTCACAGCCAGGCCACCTGGTGGGACTGGGCGGGAGGTATGTGTCCAAGGCCATCCAGAGAGACCCCTCCTCAAGGGCCCTTGGGGCCAGCCTGGCCTGTGGCTTCAGCCCTGATTCGGGCTCAGGGCCTCAGACAAAGACCCTATTCCAAACCACAGCTCAGCGTGGTCACCACACAGGGACTTGCAGAGGATGCATTGGTTACTTCCTGCATCTCTCTCCTCTGCCATCCATGCCCACCCCCCACCGCCATGCTGGAATGGCAGGCAGCAGCACTGCAGGGGCTCCCACACACAGGCGAAGGCTCACAAGCACAGGCATAGAGCTCAACAACCACACACACACACACACACATACACACACACACACACACAGCCCCCATGTCCCCTACAACCACACCCAGAGAACCCCCACGTCCCCCAGAACCACATACACACACACACACACCCACACAGAGCCCCCCACATGTCCCCCAGAACCACACACACACACACACAGCCTCCCACAACCACATATACCCAGAGCTCCCCACGTGCCCCCACAACCACACACACACAGCCCCCTACAACCACATACACACAGCCCCCCACAACCACATGTATCCAGAGTCCCCAACATGCCCCCCGCAACCACAGACACACAGAGCTCCCCACATGCCACCACAACCACACACACACAGCCCCCCACATGTTGCCCACAACCACACACACATCACACACACCCACACAGAGCCCCCACATGCCCCCTGCAGCCACACACACATACACAGACACAGAGCCCATTACATGCCCCCCACAACCACACACACAGAGCCCCCCACAGCCCCCCCACAGATACAGAGCCCCCCACAACCACACACACATACACATAGACACAGAGCCCCCAACATGCCCCCCACAACTCCACCACACGGAGCTCCCCACAACCATACACACAGACGCAGAGCCCCCAACATGC